AACATAGGGGCCCCTGCCATAGAACCAATCAGCGTATGTTTGAGCTGCAGTACGGTCGCCGACAAATGCTCATGCACAGCCTGACAGAGACCTGGAGTGAGAGGCAGCACTAGTGAAATACTGGGTATGCAGTGAGAAGCCGCCAGTGCCATAGATGGAGCGTGGCGACCTCAACTTTGTTCCCAAAGGTTGTTTCGATCGGCAGAGCGAATACATATGTCCTATGAACTCGACGCGCTAGGGGGGAAAGCAAGTGACAAAGGGTGAGGGTATCCAAAAGAAGTGGGTTCCCAAGGTCACGATCGCCTAGATTCATCGTGGAAGCAACTTGTCAATCAACACGTCACGAATCAAAGCGCCAGCCGCGATCCTCTCAGGGGGAGCGCCTGTCTGCGCACACTCCACTTCTTTAACAGAGCAGAGCAGGTCGGCGAGCACATCTGCCAAAGTGCTGCAGCCACTGGCGCATCATCATTCTGAGCTTCTTGGCTTGTGAGAGCTGTGACGCGGAAGCGTGAGCGTTGCGAGCGCCAGTCTGGCGACATGCAGCGCTGTAGACGTAAGGCATCGCTCTGTTTGTTGCTTCCAACCTGCAGCGTCAAGCGGTCACTAGCTGAGCCTGTGGCTCTAGGCACCGCCCAGCTTTGTTGCAGATCCTGAATTTCGTACGTTAAAAACTGCTGCCAGCGCAGGGAGAGGAATTGGAAGCACGATTTGACCTTTGGGTCTGACTATTTGTTGTTTCGGGCGCAATTCTCAAAAAGTGGACAATCTAGTTTTGCAGGATCTACGAGCGCAGTTGCTTCATCAGCTGGCGAACCCCGGCATTTCAATCCAGAAGTATTTTCCAGGTACGGCAATCGTTCTTGAGTGATTTTTGCGAAGCCAAGGTGTCAAAGTCTGGGTTGCTGAAGACAAGCCCCAACCTTGGGACCTCGAGGTCTCACTTTTGAGGCAACACCTTTCACGGTTCCTTCCCTGCAATGGAGGTATCATAGGGAAGGATCTTGTTTTGACAGTGTTTCGCACTCTGAACTTGACAGGCTTAAACTTGGACCCCGTGCAAACAAACTTGCAATTTTGATGGTTTAAACGGACAACCACAAAAACAAAAAGGGCAAACGGGGCGTTGAAGTCTGGAAATGTGGAGAGAGCCTTCGTTTCCGGCCTCGATGTGGCAAAGGGAGCTGGCAATGTACCCTCGTATCTCCACTTCCCGCAGGCGGCAGCCTGCCGGCGACTCCGTGCTCCGAGAATGAGCGGCTGCGCGCCCCTCGCCACTTGTTGTGTTGAAACTGAGAAAGGATCGTGGTAAATGCAAGACAGGCAGTCCAATTGCAAGCTAGCTTGCTTGCGTTGTGTTGAGCGACGCTTGGTAGCATGGCCTTTTGGTTCCAGCGAGACTTTCAAGAAGCGCTTGCACGTAGCAACTTCCCCGAGGCAGCGCCCGCGAGGAAGTTTTGCCAACAGGCTGCTGGGATGCTAGACATGGCCCTTTGAGATCCGAAAAGCAGGTTGTGAAGTTGTTTGACAGTTGTTTCTCGCCTAGGAAACCAGCAGAATGGCACGCACATAGCCACCCGGAAGGCAAGAGTGCCATACGCAAGAAAGCGCGCCAGACGTATGACATTCCTCGGGTTGGTGTATGTTGCTTTGTGTGGCAAGCTTGCGAGAGCTGTGAAGCGGACGTTGAGAGGCAGCTGGCTGGCTCTAGCTCCCAAAGTCAAAGCGCTGCCTTTGTGCGGTGTTTTGCATTTTCGCACTGCTGCGCCTGCAGTGCACTGACGCAGGAGTTGGCGGTTTTAGCGCAAGGGGCATGTTATGCTATCAGTCTGTAAAATTGCGGTGCGATCCGCTTCCGTCATTGGGGCTCTGTGAGCCAGACCTTGCCCTGAGGGTTTCTGCGACTGCCAGAGGGCCTTCGTTTCCCGCCACGGTGGCATGCCCCACTTGCTTCGCAGGGTCGGGCGCAGCAGTGACGCCTTGCGACAGAGCCAACCGTGCCGTGGCTTGGGTGCTGGCATTGTGTTGGCAACAGGCGCTTCAGTGTCGATCGCTGTCTTTTCCTGTTTTCTGACCGTCGTTTAATCTGCCCAGCGTGTGCGGAAGCAATGGGGGCTGCAGGGTGATTGGGAGGAGCGAGGACGGCAAGTGCGCTTCTGGACCCACATGCTTACCAAGTTGTGGTTCCGTGAGTCCTGCGTGGGACAGCTTTGTTGCGCGCGTGGCTGTTCAATGTGAACAAAAGCGCACGCTTCATCAGCCTGCTGGAGGGAGAAACCTGTCCGCGCACGCAGTTGTATAACTCCATTGAGTGGGCCGCCGGCTTTATAAGTGCCCTTAGATTCGTCGATGTCTCCAGCGCCCTCTTCACGGATGGTGAAATGTGCCACTGTGCTGCTGATATGTTCTAGATTTGCGTTGCGCAGATTGACCTCGGCCTCGGCCAAAACCTTGTAAACTGAACAAGAATCCAAGTAAATGCGAGAGAGGCAGGCCAATTGCAAGCTAGTATTGTGTTGAGCAAGGATCGTGGTAAATGCAAGAGAGGCAGGCCAATTGCAAGCTAGTTTGCTTGCGTTGTGTTGAGCGACGCTTTGTAGCATGGCCTTTTGGTTCCAGCGAGACTTTCAAGAAGCGCTTGCACGTAGCAACTTCCCCGAGGCAGCGCCCGCGAGGAAGTTTTGCCAACAGGCTGCTGGGATGCTAGACATGGCCCTTTGAGATCCGAAAAGCAGGTTGTGAAGTTGTTTGACAGTTGTTTCTCGCCTAGGAAACCAGCAGAAATGCACGCACATAGCCACCCGGAAGGCAAGAGTGCCACACGCAAGAAAGCGTGCCAGACGTATGACATTCCTCGGGTTGGTGTATGGTGCTTTGTGTGGCAAGCTTGCGAGAGCTGTGAAGCGGACGTTGAGAGCGCTAGTCTGGCGACACGCAGCATTGCAAACGTCAGGCAGGTTGCGATTGCAGGCATTTTTTATGTGGGCTGTTGTTTCCTCGATTTGTTGCCTCAAAAAGCATTTCACTTGCCAGTTGCATGTCCTGTTTGCAATCCTGCCTGCAAAGGCTGCTTGACCTGGCCCTTTGCTGTTGGAAGGAGCCATAGTTTGTACACGCCTTGCGACAGAAGCCACCATGCCTTAGCTTGGGTGTTGGCATTGTGTTGGCAACCCGTTTTAATCTACCCAGCGTGTGCAAAAGAAATTGGGACTGCCAGGGAACGTTGCAAACCAAGCGCAATCCATGTTTATAGACATGCCCCTGTGAGATCCGATTTGCACAGCCAGTTGTGAGGTTTGTTGACAGCTGTTTCTCACATAGGAAACAATCAGCATGGCATGGACATTGCCACGCGAAAGGCAGGAGTGCCGTACACAAGCAAGCGTGTCAGACTTATGGCAGTCCTTGCGTTGCGCGCGGGAGCTGTGACACAACGTTGTCAACATTGTGAGCGCTAGTCTGGCGACATGCAGCGCTGTAGACGTCAGGCAGGTTGCGATCGCAGGCATTTTTTATTGTGGGCGTTGTTTCCTTTGCTTTGTTGCCTCAAAAAGCATTTCACTTGCCAGTTGCATGTCCTGTTGCAATCCTGCCTGCAAAGCCTGCTTGACCTGGCCCTTTGCTGTTTCAGGAAGGAGCTTTGTTCGGTTCCATGTGCTTCCCGACGTTCAGCCTGCAAATAGCTTTCAAGCTGGCAGGGACGGGTTGCGGGTTAACACCCCGCCTGGCTTGCGGCAGCTGGCTGGCTCCAAGGGCAGCCGTAGCTCCCAAAGTCAAAGAGCGGCGTTTGCGCGGCGTTTTACATGTCCACACCGCTGTGCCTGCAGTGCGCTGACGCAGGAGTTGGCGGTTTTAGCGCAAGGGGCGTGTTTTGCTATCGAATCAGTCTTGATAATTGCGGTGCGATCCGCTTCTGTCATTGGGGCTCTGTGAGCTAGACCTTGCCCCAAGGGTTTCTGCGACTGCCAGAGGTCCTTGGTTTCCCGCCAAGATGGCATGCCCCACTTGCTTCGCAGGGTTGGGTGCGGCAGTGACGCCTTGCGACAGAGCCAACCGCGCCACAGCTCTGGTGCTGGCATTGTGTTGGCAACCCGTTTTAATCTACCCAGCGTGTGCAAAAGAAATTGGGACTGCCAGGGAACGTTGCAAACCAAGCGCAATCGATGTTTTTATACATGCCCCTGTGAGATCCGATTTGCACAGCCAGTTGTGAGGTTTTTTGACAGCTGTTTCTCACATAGGAAACAATCAGCATGGCATGGACATTGCCACGCGAAAGGCAGGAGTGCCGTACACAAGCAAGCGTGTCAGACTTATGGCAGTCCTTGCGTTGCGCGAGGGAGCTTTTACACAACGTTGTCAACATTGTGAGCGCTAGTCTGGCAACATGCAGCGCTGTAGACGTCAGTCAGGTTGCGATTGCAGGCATTTTTTATGTGGGCTGTTGTTTCCTCGCTTTGTTGCCTCAAAAAGCATTTCACTTGCCAGTTGCATGTCCTGTTTGCAATCCTGCCTGCAAAGGCTGCTTGACCTGGCCCTTTGCTGTTGGAAGGAGCCATAGTTTGTACACGCCTTGCGACAGAAGCCACCATGCCTTAGCTTGGGTGTTGGCATTGTGTTGGCAACAGCGTGTGCAAAAGGAATGGGGGCTGCCAGAAAAGATGCGCAATAAGCCAAGTCGTTGTTTATAGACATGCCCCTGTGAGATCCGATTTGCGCAGAGTGGACAGCTGTTTCTCACACAAGAAACAATCAGCATGGCATGGACATTGCCACGCGAAAGGCAGGAGTGCCGTACACAAGCAAGCGTGTCAGACTTATGGCAGTCCTTGCGTTGCGCGCGGGAGCTGTGACACAACGTTGTCAACATTGTGAGCGCTAGTCTGGCGACATGCAGCGCTGTAGACGTCAGGCAGGTTGCGATCGCAGGCATTTTTTATTGTGGGCGTTGTTTCCTTTGCTTTGTTGCCTCAAAAAGCATTTCACTTGCCAGTTGCATGTCCTGTTGCAATCCTGCCTGCAAAGGCTGCTTGACCTGGCCCTTTGCTGTTTCAGGAAGGAGCTTTGTTCGGTTCCATGTGCTTCCCGACGTTCAGCCGGCAAATAGCTTTCAAGCTGGCAGGAACGGGTTGCGGGTTAACACCCCGCCTGGCTTGCGGCAGCTGGCTGGCTCCAAGGGCAGCCGTAGCTCCCAAAGTCAAAGAGCGGCGTTTGCGCGGCGTTTTACATTTCCACACTGCTGTGCCTGCAGTGCGCTGACGCAGGAGTTGGCGGTTTTAGCGCAAGGGGCGTGTTTTGCTATCGAATCAGTCTTGATAATTGCGGTGCGATCCGCTTCTGTCATTGGGGCTCTGTGAGCTAGACCTTGCCCCAAGGGTTTCTGCGACTGCCAGAGGGCCTTGGTTTCCCGCCAAGATGGCATGCCCCACTTGCTTCGCAGGGTTGGGCGCGGCAGTGACGCCTTGCGACAGAGCCAACCGTGCCACAGCTTTGGTGCTGCAATTGTGTTGGCAACAGCGTGTGCAAAAGGAATGGGGGCTGCCAGAAAAGATGCGCAATAAGCCAAGTCGTTGTTTATAGACATGCCCCTGTGAGATCCGATTTGCGCAGAGTGGACAGCTGTTTCTCACACAAGAAACAATCAGCATGGCATGGACATTGCCACGCGAAAGGCAGGAGTGCCGTACACAAGCAAGCGTGTCAGACTTATGGCAGTCCTTGCGTTGCGCGCGGGAGCTGTGACACAACGTTGTCAACATTGTGAGCTCTAGTCTGGCGACATGCAGCGCTGTAGACGTCAGGCAGGTTGCGATTGCAGGCATTTTGTTATGTGGGCTGTTGTTTCCTCGCTTTGTTGCCTCAAAAAGCATTTCACTTGCCAGTTGCATCTCCTGTTGCAATCCTGCCTGCAAAGCCTGCTTGACCTGGCCCTTTGCTGTTGGAAGGAGCCATAGTTTGTACACGCCTTGCGACAGAAGCCACCATGCCTTAGCTTGGGTGTTGGCATTGTGTTGGCAACAGCGTGTGCAAAAGGATTGGGGGCTGCCAGAAAAGATGCGCAATAAGCCAAGTCGTTGTTTATAGACATGCCCCTGTGAGATCCGATTTGCGCAGAGTGGACAGCTGTTTCTCACATAGGAAACAATCAGCATGGCATGGACATTGCCACGCGAAAGGCTGGAGTGCCGTACACAAGCAAGCGTGTCAGACTTATGGCAGTCCTTGCGTTGCGCGCGGGAGCTGTGACACAACGTTGTCAACATTGTGAGCGCTAGTCTGGCGACATGCAGCGCTGTAGACGTCAGGCAGGTTGCGATCGCAGGCATTTTTTATGTGGGCTGTTGTTTCCTCGCTTTGTTGCCTCAAAAAGCATTTCACTTGCCAGTTGCATGTCCTGTTGCAATCCTGCCTGCAAAGCCTGCTTGACCTGGCCCTTTGCTGTTTCAGGAAGGAGCTTTGTTCGGTTCCATGTGCTTCCCGACGTTCAGCCGGCAAATAGCTTTCAAGCTGGCAGGAACGGGTTGCGGGTTAACACCCCGCCTGGCTTGCGGCAGCTGGCTGGCTCCAAGGGCAGCCGTAGCTCCCAAAGTCAAAGAGCGGCGTTTGCGCGGCGTTTTACATTTCCACACTGCTGTGCCTGCAGTGCGCTGACGCAGGAGTTGGCGGTTTTAGCGCAAGGGGCGTGTTTTGCTATCGAATCAGTCTTGATAATTGCGGTGCGATCCGCTTCTGTCATTGGGGCTGTGTGAGCTAGCCCTTGCCCCAAGGGTTTCTGCGACTGCCAGAGGGCCTTGGTTTCCCGCCAAGATGGCATGCCCCACTTGCTTCGCAGGGTTGGGCGCGGCAGTGACGCCTTGCGACAGAGCCAACCGTGCCACAGCTTTGGTGCTGGCATTGTGTTGGCAACCCGTTTTAATCTACCCAGCGTGTGCAAAAGAAATTGGGACTGCCAGGGAACGTTGCAAACCAAGCGCAATCGACGTTTATAGACATGCCCCTGTGAGATCCGATTTGCACAGCCAGTTGTGAGGTTTTTTGACAGCTGTTTCTCACATAGGAAACAATCAGCATGGCACGCGCATGGCCATGCGAAAAGCAAGAGTGCCATACGCAAAGCGGCACTCCAGGCTCATGGCATTCCTTATTTCACTTTCTTGTTCCATGTCCTGTTTGCAATCCTTGCCTGCAAAGCCTTTTTAACCTGGCCCTTTGCTGATTCAGGAAAGAACTGTGACTTGCAGTTCTACAGCGTGCTCGGTGCCATATATCCTTTCCGAACTTCAGCCTGCAAATATAGCTTTGAAGCTGGCAGCTGTGCAACGTAGACGTCAGGTCTGCGTACACAAGGGGGGAAAACCGCTCAGAACTTGTCACACGGGCGCATGCCTGCATGGCACGTTTCACGCGGGCGCACGCGCGCGCGCGTAGCGTCGCTTCTCAGGTGCGATTTTGGCAAGGAGCGCCGCAAGCGCTGTTTGCGCTGCAGTAGCGTTCTTGGAGAATTCCATTCACTGGGCCGTAAGCTACACAATCACTGGCCCCGCCAAATACCAGGTGTCGGAGGTGTGCGTCTTGGCTAGCTGCGCACATGTCAAAGCTGGGCCAGCCTGTTTGGTATAGACAGGCAGACTGTAAGCTAGTTTGCTCAGTGGTGGCCTGCAGCGAGCGACGCGCGCGACACTTTGCGCAACACTTCACTTTGCAGCCGGGCTACGGGACAAAATAGTCGCAGCCTCACAGAAGGTGCACGCGAAGGCTTGCGCAGGCGTGCAAGATGCTGACACGATGGCAAACGCGCGGGCCCAAGAGAGGGTGGGTATTCGGACGACAGGACAGGCAGCTTGTTGCAAACCTAATCTGTGGTCCATTTGGGAGGGACATGGGGGAATGTGGCTCTAATGGTTTGTTGTCAAGGATGACTCGCATAGGAGGGAGCGACGCATTTTGAGCAGCGAGCGCAGCGCATCGTAAGCAAAGTGCGAAATCGTTCCAACAGACCCTTAAGCTACTTCTGCACGCGCTCTTGCAGGATCATGGGAATCGGTGCGCAGGAACGTAAGCTGTACATTAGGCACGATGTGTGCGCTTTCCGTAAGCTCTGTTTGTCCGACTGCTTGGACAAGTATTCTGTTCTGTTGGGTCTAGCAAGTTTTTTTTGCACCGCTCATTTGACATTCGCCAAATCATTCACAAGACAGCTGGCAAAGATGAACCACCTTTTTGCGTGTTGTGCGGCAGTCCGTCTTGGCTTTGCCTGGTCTAACTGCAGAACGGACTCTATGCGTCTTTAGCTCGGGATTTGGAAGGCCCTTGTGTTGGGCGTGAGATTTACATAATGGGCCTTGTTTTCGCAAGCCAAACGCAATTGTATGGCTGTCCAATCAGGACACAGGAAAGCATGCTGACTGCAACTTGGGAGCGCCGCTATTCCCTCTCGTTCAGATGTTGGGCATGACGAGCAGTGACAGTGTGACAGACAAGGCTAGTCAGGCTAGTCATGAGCTTTCTGAAACATAGCAGCGGAAAAAAAGAAAAGAGGGGGCTGTAAAGCTGCTGCAGCAGTTTGATCTCACTGAGCAACATGTCACGGCTTAAACATTGCGGTGTCCATTGTGAGGTTCTAATGGGGACTGAAGCAGAGGATTGTTCTGTCAGAGTTTGTTTCGGGCACCAAAAGAAAGAGCTAGTCTTTGGCTAGCAGTATGCTTTTCTGAAAGCAACGAGGCGCGTTCCTGCTGAAGATTCTGCTGACGCCAAGGCACAGACGGTCTTGCACTGAGAGTTGAGCGTGACTCGGTCGGTGCTTGGGAGGCTTTCTGCAGCTCACTGGATGGTGCTGAAGAAATCGCGTGTAGCCTGCGCTGCTCTTTGGAGAAGCAGCTTGGCCGTTGGTCAGACGTGACAGCTCAACCCAGAGTTTTGAAGGACATGAGGTCTACCGACCTCCTTTTGACTGGTGTTTGATCAGGGTTCAATCACATGCGAGCGGGGCGATGACAGATGGCAACTTCCACGGGCCAAGTATTTTCTTGCGCGGGCCTTGCAATGGTTCCATCCAAGGCTGTTCTGCAGATTGCTGCTAGACCTCCGCCTGGCAGCTTTGACGCCGCGCGCCTTGCTGCAAATTTGTCCTTTCAATGAGACACCCCTCCTGCATGCGGTATTTCGCCACTGTGCTCTTTTTTTTGATGACCAAGATAGCGCTTTACGAGGAGTAATAAAAGGAGGGTCGTAAGGGAGCCCAAACGGTTTGTCTCGAAATACGGGCTTCTTGCTGCGCAGGTGCAAGCTTTTGTTGCGACGGCGTTTTGAAAGGGAAGTGCTCGCAGGTTGCTCAAGCTGTGGGTCAAAACCAATGGTACCATTTTGGAGTAGGTGCACCACCCATTTTAGAACCTGTTTTAGTGGGGATTGGGATGTTCACTGGGGGTAACCGGGCTTTTGACCCATGGCCAAGTGTCGAGTCACGTTCGTTGGCCCCGACATCGAATGCATGGGCCGCAGTCTCACGGCATCAAGCTGTGCCATGATTTGTTCTTGGGTCTGAGGTGGGTGTGGGTCACAATTAAACCAGGGGTTTAGTCTACTTTTCCATTTGCCAGCATTCCATTTTGGGCGCTAGTGTTTGACCCACAGCCAGGTGTTTTGCTTGGAATACGCATGCAAGCATTTGCTCAAACATGACAGTACAGAGCTGTGCCAGTGTGATGCCGGAATGCCCTTGCAAATGTTTGCTCGAACGTGACTTCGCGTAGCTGCCAGAGTGGCTGGCACATGTGCAATCCTTTTGCTTGAAGCGCATGCGCGTGTGCTCAGATAGGCAGATGGATGCCACGAAGACAGAAATAGAGAAGCAAATCGGCTAAATAGATAAACATCGACGAACATCAAGGTGCTTTGCTGAAGGGCCGGAACATTTGTGTATAGCATGCAAATGCATGGCCTCACGCTGCAAAGGGCCCCAGCCCAGGCAAATCTAGGAGGTTGTTTCCGAGTGCATGTGCATTGTGCCAGAAGGTGGTGCGCCTGGAGTCAATGGATGTGGCCTGTGGCGCAACAAAGCGCCTTGGCGTGATGGGTGTTGGCCATGGGGCGTCTTTCTGTGAGCCGCCGGATTTTCCCACAGTGATGACGAAGTTATACGCACACGGATGGAAATCCCATTTTGATATCGCAGATAGTGCTGTTTCCCACAACCACGGCGTTTTCCAACAGGAGGATGTGTCTTGTTGCCGGAAACTGTTTAAATTCGGTTTGATCGACCGCGATTGGGGGTTCGGTTCACGCCCCACTTCCCCCGTCCCCCCTTACATGACCTGGAGTAGTTGCGTGTTCCCATTAGTTGAACGCTGCAGCT